GTGCTGTTATTGTAGTAGTATAAGAGATCAGTAGCTTTTTTCGAGCTCTACTGCTCTCTTATATAACTACAACAACAGGACCTTATCGACATAAATCCAGCCTTGCGGGACCAACTACGCGCGGAAAGCACGAAACGACGTGACCGTGACAACACCCCCCTGCTAACACCAAAACTCCATACTGCTGCTAAGGAACTCAGAAACCATGACGACATCATTGTGCGACGTGCGGACAAAGCTAATATTCTAGTGACCATGGACAAACAGGAATATAAGACAAAATTGGACGCCATTCTATCGGACAATAGCAAGTTTAAGAGGATTAGAGCTGACCCGACAAAAACACTAAAAACAGACGTTAATAAATTGATCGCCACTGTCAACAAACAAGCAAAAGAAAAGGTTCTCCAACCTATCATAGGAGACTATGCGCCCGGATATATCTACGGAACCGTAAAAACTCATAAACAGAACAGCCCTCTACGGCCAATCATATCACAAATTCCTACTCCTATATACAAGACTGCCAAAGACCTAAACCACATCATCACTCCGTATATGCCTGCCCAACACATGCTAACATCTACAGACGACTTCCTGCACTTACTACATGCCACAAATCCACAGGGACTACTTGCCTCCTTGGACGTCAAATCATTATTTACCAATGTACCAGTCCAGGATACGATAGACATAATCTGTGACAACGTTTACAGACACCCGACCATGTCTCCACCCAAGATACCTGAAGAAATAATGCGTGAACTTCTACTCGCCTGTACAACGAAGTCACCTTTTCAACATATCAATGGTTCGCTATACCAGCAAGTCGACGGAGTTGCCATGGGCTCTCCTCTTGGAGTAACCTTCGCCAATTTTTACATGTGTCACATAGAAAACAAAGTGCTGCAGGACCACCATCCCGCACTGTACTGCAGATACGTCGATGACTGCTTCATCGTTACCAAGGACACTGATGAATTAATGAGGCTCCGACAAAACCTACAGGACAACTCTGTGCTTAAATTTACCCACGAAATAGCCACTGACAAAACCATCAA